ATTAGGTCCTTGGAAATTTGTCTGGATGCCTCAGGACCAAACGGAACAGCTTGGCTATGGTAGCAAACGAACATCTACGGACGGAGCTTCTTGCTGCGTCACTCCCAGGTTTGCTGGGAAGAAATACACAGATGGCAATGTGAGGCTTATCACAATTCCTAGACGAGCTGATACCAGTATGAAGTAGATAACGGCACTGGTTTTTGTTGTTGTTCTCCCCACTTTTGAGGGCGCATTTGTGCGTAAGTGGTGCAGCTTTAAGACACCTTCTTCTGGGGATGGAGAGATGGCTCTTCCCGAGGATCCGAGTTCAGTTCCCAACACCCACTTCATGCTGCTCATAACCGCCTGTAACTCCAGCGAATCCAATGCCCTCTACTGATTCGTAAAGGGCACCAATGCATGAGACATACAAGCACACAGACGTATATAAACAAGTTTAAAAAATTAGAAGCCTCTTCCTGGTTGAGGAACCATATAAGAAATTTTCTCCAGTCTAAAAGAATGCACTTTGGTCATGGAGATCTGAGCCAATGCCATCGCCACTTCGCAACCTTTGGGGGAAAATGATCATTTTCCATTGTGATTTGGAAAAAAAATGAAGCGATGTAATTGTAACACAACAGTGTCATAGGACCCATGACACCTGCTTTGAAAATAAATCTCCCGGTTTTGTCTTCCCCTTTATTTTCAATGAGTGCTCCAGCATTGTTGTGGCTGCATTAATCTAGCAGCAGGGAACCATTATCCTATGACAACAGTCTCTCCCATTAACATTATCTTTTAATTTTAAGATTGTTTAGATGACTGCTAGAAGCTACTAAATTAAGACAAAATGAAGAAAGCATTATTTTCCCCCAGCCAAGTATTCAGTCAAATAACCCGTCTCTGACCCTGACTGCTCTTGCAAAAGTGACACCATTATTTTTATTTCAGATTTCAAAATATTATTTGGGTGTAAGCTGAAATTTCCAGATATGTAGACTGTTTTAAATGCCATCTAGGAAAATAACCATTAAATTGAAATTATTATTTATACTGCTTGCCTTATTCCAAAGTATATATTAAGAGTTGGAGATACTGTTATTTTTCTAGGAGGCAATTGTTGTAGTAAATCAGACAATAATGAAATCACAATGATGAAAACTCAGTAAAGGAATAAAAGAAACATTTGTCTAGTAGAGTTTACTCTGGGAAATAATTGAATTTGGAGAATGTAGCAAAAATGAGACAGGATGAAAACAAACACAAAAGTAAAATAGAATTGTTGTTATGGGCGAGTACTATCCAATATTCTGATGAACTTTAAAGTGACAGTTATACCATGATGAGCAGTATCTGTGAATTTTATATCCATGTATTACGAGAGTTTCAAATAATAACTAACTTAGCTAGTGTTCATTGGATTCAAATGGTCTCTCATCCTATGGACTGAATCCTGATACTTGAAGAGATACAAAAAATCTTTCAGGATGTGTTTTACTTCCCTGCCTCTGGGCTCTCCAGAAGCAGAGGTTAGAATAACTGTAAATGAGGAATATATCTAAATAGTCATGTGACCGGGGATTTCACACGTTCAATAGTAGGGATCTGTGATTCTCTTCCCAGTTCCCATGAGTAAAGCAAACAAGAAAATTCACGGACACCGAGTAACTGTGTTAATAGAATCTCTCCGGGGAAAAAAAGAGAAAGGCTTAAGTTGTGAATTCCCCCATATTGTTAATGTACTTCAAGTAGGCCATCAATATGTGTCCTATTTACTGATAGGCACGCATAGGTGGAGGGAAATCAATCAAAACCCTCATCCATAAATTATCATGACTTCTAGAAATTATCAAAACTTCACTGGAGTGTCATGTGCCGTCTTCCCAGCAATGAGTTATAGTCAATAATTCACCCCCTGACTGGACTGATAACAGACAGATATTCTAATAATGTGTAGGATTTACTACCGGACACACCAGCAGTAAGTAGGAATTCCAGTGCAGTGTTAACTGCTATCTCAGTGGAGAAGAGCAATAAGGAGACATCTGGGTACAACGTTGGAATATTTAAACCCCAGGGTTAGAACAAACATATCTTAAAGGTAGTGTTGTTTAAGTTTTCATTATTTAAGCAAATTGTTTCCATGGTATTGTTCTATAATGACTCTTCCTGGCCCTATTGTCTGAGAACACAGCAGATGGCTCCGTAAAAAATGCTGAAAATAAAGTCAGTTTTATTCTTTGGTTCTTCCCCCAAATTTGAGGATGGCTTCACTTGAATATTTCATTTTACAGGAAATTTCCTTAAAAAAATCATCCTAGACTAAAAGTCTTAAATATGTTTTCAGTGATTTCTTATCATACAGAGAGATCAACAAATTTGCTTTCTCTGTCAGAATGTTTTGAAGCTAGAAAAGAAGTGGTGATTCATCAAAAACAATTTTATTATGAAATTTGATTTATGTTGAGAAATATAAATGATGACGTTATAATGTGTACCTCTGCGTGGAGGGAACACATTTTAGTCAATTGAGTTATCCAATTTTATTATTTTAAAAAATCCATATCTGGTTGTTGTTTTTATTTGAAAAAATTTATAGTGCTATATGTGGTAGAAATGTATGCTTTTCAACTCCACAGACAGCTATGGGTTGTACTCCCCTAATTCCAACAGAGCCATTCATTATAATGAATAAACATGCTCATATTCTCATCAATTTCTTTGTGAGCAAATAGAAACTAGTACTATATTGAAAACAGCTCATTTCATTAGAAAACTGTACTGAATTTTTAAAAAAGCTTAATTATATCAATACCGCAATTAAAAATGACACCACAGAAGTTGTGGTTTAGAGAGCTTAAGATTTTTGAATTATTATCTTTTACTAAAAAGCAGAGATAACAAAAAGGAAAATGAATTATGTTGTATGGCTTTAATTTCTCTGTCAATAAGTACTCATTTCCTTTGTCTTGGACAGGGGTGGTAATTGATTTTAAATAGGATCACTGTTTTTGACAGAATATATAATATACTCAGCAGTGATTATCTCACATACACACACATTTCCCAATCATATCTATACTCTCTTTTGTACCTATTATTAAATTAAATTTATCCAAGAAAAGTTTTATCTCAGTTTCAATAAGTACCACCTGACCCATTAGACCATCTAAAATAGCAGTTTCCAACCTGTGGCTCGAGGTCCCTTTGAGGGTTGAATGACCCTTTCACAGGGTCACCTAAGACCATCAGACAACACAGACATTTACATTATGATTCATAACAGTAGCAAAATTACAGGCATGACGTAGCAACAAAAATAACTTTCTGGTTGGAGGTCAGCACAGCATGAGGAACTGTAGTAATGGAACCCAGCTCTGGGAAGTTTGAGAATCGCTGCTGTAGCCTGAAGGAACACACCAAGGCTCTTCAAATAGTCTGTCCATTGCTTTGCAGAATGCCACTTGTGCTTGGAGTGTTGACAGACTCCAGTCTTAGCTATGGAGTCTGGAGAAGCCAAATTCCTCCCAGGAAATCATCACCATGAGATTTACCAACAGTTCTGAAACAGATCGGGGCTGTAGTTAGAGCCTTTCTTCCAAGCCCACATAAATAAGTCAATTTTTACAATTATATTAAAGTTGCCTTGCTTGTCAGAGAAAATACTCAAATTCTGTACCCCCCATCAGCTTTTCCACCTTTCCTGTCATTGCCAAGAGTTCCACACACCCTAATAAAATAGAAAAATTAAAGCAGAATCCAGGTCTTCAGTTATGTTTCCAAGTATAGCAGTCCCAATGCTATATCAACAATATGGATACTTTGTTTTCTTCAGCCATGTTCTGCTTTATTCCAATTAAAACCAATTACTTCCCTATGGCTTTATAAAATAGGAGTTAGGCTAGAACTTTCTAAAACTAATTAGCATAAATAATTTGGTGGGATATTTACCACCTATAGCCATTGAGCTTTAAAATGTTACAGCAAAGCAACTGCTTGTTCTTCCATCATGGGAGCCCCTTCTCTCTCGTTTCCTCTTCATTTCTTTCTTTTCAAAGAGTTGCTTGTTTTTTGAGACAAGATCTCATGTGGCTGAAACTCTCTTGGATTTTCTGTGTAGCTGAGGATTACCCTGAATTTCGGATTCTTCCCTTGTCACCTGAGTGAGGGTTACACATGTACGCTACCGCACTTGGTTCATTCAGTCTTTGGGACCCAACGAAGGTGCATGCTCCACCAACTCCACCAGCTGAGTTATATCCCCTAGCCTTTCCTTCTTCTTGTTCCTTCTTCCCTTTCTCACCTCCCCCCTTTCTTCTTTTGAGGGTCTTGCTGCCCCAAATTTCCTAGCTTGAGCAGCCTTCCCAGCTCAGCCTCTCAACGGCTGAGACAATAAGCCCACCCGTCCAGCACACCATATTCAATTTTAAGTCCTATTCTTAAAAGCTTCCAGCCTTCCCAGGCCCTGGTTACTGGGCTATATTCCCTACACCCAGCTGATAGAAAAGCATAACCTGCCCACTAGTCTTTGGCATTAGTTTTAACTAGTTTCCTCTCATGCCTTATGCACGGGGGCCTTTGGAGTTCTAGGATGCCAGAGTAAAGATGGGTGGGCACTCTTGTAATGTCTTTCCTAAAAAGCCCTCCTTCAAACACACAGTTTGTCATGGACTTTTAAAGGGCATCATCTCCCCCTACCCCCTTTGAACAGGAGTTGGGCACTTGTCTTGGGCATTGTCATATCAGAAGATGACAGACAAAGCTTCTGTTGTCTGTGGAGTCTTTGAGGGATTGTCACTGGAGAATTGCAACGTCCATAAGTAAGAACTCACGTGAGAAGGTGGGAAGTGTAGACAAACAATTTCAGGACAAGTAAGGAAAAATGGAAGCTTGATATAGATAGGATTCACATGGTCCCTAAATTTGATAAAAGCCTGGGAACAGTTTGGGTTTCTTTCTTTCCTCCTTCCTTTCTTTCTTTTTTTTATAAAGTACCATAATTTGTGTCTTATTTTAGGTTACTGAATGAATGATGAATGTGTGACTTCAGTGGAGTCTACCCAAACCAACAGACACCATGCAACATTATCCCGAGTTAGTTCATCTTACTTTACATTAAAAGTATTTCTTGGTGCTATTTTTTAAACGACTGTTTGAACAATTCTATTAAACAGAACACAGGTGCCCTTCAGGAGCTTGTATTGTTCACCGTTTTTGTGTGTTTAGGATGAGTAGAAATGAAAGAGTGACCCCTGGGTTCCTCCCTCTTCTGAGATCTCAGACAGACTTTGCTATCTGCATGAGAAAGGACTGCTTAGACTGAGGATGCAGAAATAAAGACTACCCAGAGGTGGCGCTGTGGTTAAAGTACACCTGGATTTCGACCACAGCCAACGGATTCACTTCCTATCCTTCAGAGGAGATGGTAGCCCCTACCACGTTTGCATTTCTATAACCACAGTAACCCGTAAATTAAGCTCTCTCTTAATATATTCCTGCCCACTCCACTTTACTGGGATATGTATGCAGACTTCATACACAATTAGAAGCAAAATATTAAAACCACCTCTGAAAGTGTAGGCCCCCATGTAGCCTGGAGACACATGCTCAAAGTTCCATCCGTCCCTCTTTCCTTCCATGCACAAAGACTAGCTAGATCCCCAGGGAATCATCCAGTGATAGCTGAGCGCACTCCTGCTTAAATTTATAACATTTCATTTTGGAATTAAAATTTAATTTTATGTTCATACTCGAGGAAATACCATAACTCAGGATGATGCTATATATTATGTGTTTTGGTTTTTAAAAATCAGCTAAAAAGGAAAAAAATAGAGACCATCTGGTTTAATTTCTTCTTTTTATTTTTTAGATAAGAAACTGATGCAAAGAGATGGAAATCTTCTCATCTGACATATTTCAACACCATAGCAGCCACTGAGATCTTGTCCCAGCTAGGCAAAGTGGTACAGGCCCCAAATCCCAGAATTCAGAAGGCAGAGGCAGAAATATCTACTTTGAAACTGGTCTTAAAAACAAAACTCCTTGTTGGGCTGATTTAACTTGTTGTAAGTCAAAAATGATCCTAGGAATTACAATGTGTTATTTCTTCCTGGTGTCCTTCCCTCCTTTGAGTTTAAAAAAACGAGAACAAAACAAAACAAAAAACTTTCCTAAATTGGCCTGCTTTCATCATGTCTACCTGCAGCTGTTTTCTGCATAGGGCATTCCAATTATGATTATGTCGATGATTTTTATAAAAACGCTTTTAATATATGCACACGGTGAAGTAATCATAAGAAGTCAACATTAAATACATATCCATAAAAATAATCTTTAACTGTAACATGCTAGGAATTCAAGGAGCTAAATTATAGAAATGGGTGTTTTAGCTGGCATTAAAATCACCCTCTGCCTGGTTTCATGAGCAATATTTATCCTTTCGTACTAATTTTGGCTGTTTAGAGACCAAAAATTCTGCACTATAGATGTTTTTGATTGGTTTTCCTTCAACTTTTCTTCAGTCTAGCAGGCCTGACTGGTTTTCCTTCAACTTTTCCTCAGTTTAGCAGGCCTGCGTGTAACGCAGTGTGAAAGCTTGTCCCACAACACTGGATGTAGTTAATGTTGCCTAGCAGAAGGACTTTGTGATTCCATGATAATTCCCAACAGAAAAATCTCTCTGGAACTTACCATTGATAATCAGTCCTAATATTAACATCAGATCAGAGACTTATTAAGCCTGCTTGGCAGAATAAGGTCGAATAATGAGATACTCAAGAATCTAGGCTGAGTTCTGGCCCTGGAAACAGGCTCCGAAGCCAGCATTCCTCAAATCTTGGAATGTACAAGAAATGACTAGTCTCCCTTCCATAGGGCTGTGAGCTGGCAGCTCTGGCAAATGCTTGCATCGCTTTAGGGGGAGAGAGCTAGTCTATCCCTCCACACAGAGGGAGAATGCGAGCAAAAGCTTTTCCCAGAAAGTTTTCTTCATCTCTGCAAACCAGGGATGTGATCTGTATCCACCAGCAACTGACGAGCATCTCTGAATTGCCTGCTCCACGCAGTGTACCCGGGGGTTAACGGGAGCAAAGATGGGGTTAAGCAGGCAGTACTCGGGTAGGAACTGTTTCCCACTTCCCCCAGGGTTTTGTAATCTGCAATCCCGTGAATTAAACACAACACCCGCTTTTTGCACCAGTGTGAAGTCCACCTCCCTGCGGCAGGAGGACTCCTTTACCCTAACAGGAAGAGACCCATTTCTGGGAAAGTAAGTTTCCCGAGGATCTGCTCTCTGGGTCGGGGAGGGCGATCCCCCAGGGCCCTCCGGGGTCGGCTCCACGCGTCCCCGCGCGCCGGGCAGGCAGGTGTGGTTCCGAGCCTGGGCACGCGCTCGCTGGCCGCGTCCCCCGCGCCACCGGGGTCCCTTCTCGTCCGTCCCCCGACCCCGGCCCCCCGCCTTCCCCGTCCGGGCCCGCTCAGCCGCCCGCCTCGCTCCCCGCCCCCCGAGTCTCGTTTCAGTCACCCTTTGTCCTTCCCCGGATTGGCAGGTTTTATTATTCCGCCTGAACAATCCGGCCGCCCAGTGGCTGAGGGTCGCTGACGTCGGCGGCAGAGCCGGGGAGTAGTTGGGATTCTGCTCTGTCAGTAACACATGTGTAAGCGCCGCCGAAGGAGCGAGCCAGCCGGTTAGAGGCCCGCGCCGCCGCCTCCGAGCCGGGCAGCAGCAGCAGCAGCAGCAGCAGCGGGGCAGCCGATCGGTGCAGCGCTCCCGGCCGGCCAGCCGGCCCGCAGCTCTCCGCTCCGTGCGCCGTCGCGCGGGCCGCGGGGCCGAGCTTGCCCCGCCGCTCCCCGGCCGCAGCTCGCGGGAGGAGGGGGGAGCTCGGCCGAGCCGCCGGCGGCCCCGAGCGGGCGGGCGGGCGGGAGGAAGGCGGCGGCGGCGGCGGAGGAGGAGGAGCGCGGGCGCGGCGGGGGCGGGGGCGCGTACAAAGTGAAGCCACATTGCCAAACTTGCAGCCGCGATTGCAGCAGTGGCTGCCGCTGCGCCGCACGGGCCGGGCCGAGGGGCGCCTGCAGCTGCTCGCGCTCAGCCGGGGGCTGAGGATCGGGACCCGCGGGCTGAGACTTGACACTTCTGCGCCGGGCCGCCTGCCACTTAGCGTGGGGCTCCCTCTACCCGCCCCAGAGCCACGCGATTAAAAAAAAAAATCAGCCCTTAGCCCCCTCCTCCCCTTCCCTGCTTCTGCGAGAACTCCCTCCCTCCCTCCAGCTCCGCCGGCCCCGGCGCCCCTGCCCTGGAAGCCGAGCGGCTCCGCTCGCATTTCGCCGCCGCCGCCGCCTCTCGCAGTATTGCAATATAGGGGAGAAGCAGGTAAGGGGGTGGCTGGGGGCGCCGCGGGCGGGGAGGGGCGGGTGGGGAGGGGAGCTGATCGGGGCCGGGGCTGTTTTCTTTGGCTTCCTTCCTTTGACCGTCCCAAATTGCAAGTAAACAATACGTCGCCTTAGATAATGCGTGACTCTGAAACTACCCGAGGCCGGCCTGCGAGCTAGCACGGAGGGCAGCCCCGGGCCGCCAGCTTTGTAGCGGTTCCTTGCTTACAAAAGGGTTCTTCTTGGAGACTGGGCTGGTGGGGACCCTAGAGAGGGCTGGGGGCAGTCCCAGTTCCTACAGGAAAGGCAGGGGCTGCTTGGATGAGAAGTGATGTGTGCGTGGGTGGGGGCGATAGTCGTGACCCCCCCAACACTATTTGAGACAGGGACCGAAAAGCTCTAAGTGACCAGGATCCGGCATTGCCGGTTCTTTTTAAAAGAATTCCTCTTGGCTTATAAATCTTTTGTTCCAATCCAGGAGAAATCCGGTGAATCACCTAATTAAAATCAAGACATGAATTAAGCATCCATTTTTGTACTACAAATGGCCAGCGCTACGTTTGTCCCTCCCTTGGTCTCCATTAAAAAACACCAGAGACGTTGTTAAAGGGGGGCAGATTTTGCCTCTAGCTGCCAGCTCTGCTTTCTATTTCACTGACTGTCCCAGGACCTAAATTGCTTGGCTATGTAATTACTAGACTATAAGCCTATTTAACTTAAAAGCTTTCTTTCTTTCTTTTTTTTTTCCAACTCTAAATGAAACTTGATGAGGGCCCGTCCTTAGTTATCAGGGGAGTCAGTTTCTGGTCAGTCCTCTTGATTCATCTCTTTTAGATTTAATCAGCATTAAGGTATTGCTTGTCCTTAAGAGCTTTAGCTAATGGGGTTACTGGATGCTTTTCTCAGTGTAATGTTTCCTTTTCAAAAAAAAATACATATATATTTACCTCTCACTAAAGATGGGGGCGGGGAGCAGCTTGGAATCTCCTCCCTCCCCCTCCCCTTTTAAAAAGGAATTCGGAGCGATTAAAACGTTGAGGGGGGGAACAGTTTAAAGACCTAGGGCAGGAAATGCAGATTCATTTGGGTTAGGGCTGAAATTGTAACAAAAAGCAATTCCTCGAGTAAATGCATCAGATAAATCAATTTACATAAAGGTATGATGCATTCGGATAAATGCAATGCTAATGGGTTTTAGAGCGGTCCTGTTTCCAGAGTCTCGGGGTTGTGTTACAGCTTAATTGGTGCAGTTCTTATTCTGGTTTATTGTGCGGTCACTGGACACACGTTCCGGGACTCTTTCGGAGGAAATGTGTTTAAAATCGGCCTATTTAAGGAACCGGAGTCCTTTCGTTCCCTCTCCCCTGTTCTTTGCAGCAGTTAAGTTGGGCTGGGGACAGACAAAGTTCGCCCTCTCTCTTCTGAGGTATCAGCTGAATGTCTTGAGCAGATAGCTGGGAGCCTGGGGGAGCCCACACTCTCGCCTCACAGAGGACAAAGACAAAACAAGCTGCTTAATTGGCAGTAAATAACTTGATCTTTTTATAGAATAAGTGACTGGAGAAACACTAGGACTTTATTGGACTCCGGATTGGAGGCAACAAATTAATCGGTTTAAGCTAAGCTTTATAAATTGATTCCTATAATATACCCCAGTTGCTTCTCCTGTGGCATTCATTAGAAAGTGTGTGTGTGGGGGGGTGGTTTAAAAGCGGTTTGAGGTGGCATCGGGACTGGCTTGAATTTAACTTGTGTGTCCCTCAATAGTGCCTCCTCGAACATTATCTATCCCCCCCCCACCCTTTGGAGGAACAAAGCTCCAGCATTTAAATTGCTGATCAAGGGCAGATTAGCGAGACCAAAGTGGAGAGTGTTTGTATAGGAAGTTAACAGGCATCCTAAAGTTCAATGATCTATTATCCTTGCCTGTGTCCTGAAAACACTCATTGATCTTCAAAATGAAATGAGATTTGGAACAATAATGGGAGATGGCGGTCACCACAATGGCATGTGAAAGGTGCTGTTTAAAATACGAAAAACCAGTTTCGCAACTTTACACCCGGCACCCCCCTCTCCTCTCGCCACCTTGCCACCCCTCCCACCACCTCCATCTCCCCCTCGGCCTCTCCCTCCCTCCTCTCCCTCCCCTCCCTCCCCCGCGCCTTGCAGAAAACCCCGAACTATTTGCAACTTATGAACTGCAGCCTCACTTCCCCCGGCAGAGCTCGGGAGGGAACGTGGCTGCGGCGGGGCGGCCACCTCCAGCGGCCCGAGGCTGGCTCGCGGGGCTCGGCGGGGGCCGGGGAGGGGCCGGGCGCGGCGGTGGGTGGGTTTGACCCTCATTTGCTGGAGGCGGGCGGCGGCGGGAGGAGCGGGCGGAGGCGGGCGCTGGGGGGGGGGAGGAGAGGAGAGGAGAGGAGGAGGCGGCGCCGCGAGGGGTGGAGCGCGCCACCGAGCCTAGCTCTCGGAGTTTTGACAGTCCCCGAGCTGAAATTGTCAGCGGCGGCGAGCGCTTTGGAAAGTTGAGAGCAGCTCGTGGCCCCAGAACAAAGCTTGAGAAAAGTAAACAGGCGGCTGCTGCCGGCGAGCCTCCCTCCTTCCCTTCTCTCCGATCGGCCTCCTTCCCGCCCTGGCCCTGCTGCTGCTTCTCTTGCAGCCACTCTGGGGGAGGGAGGAGGGGAGCGCGCTGGCTTCTGGCGCCCGGCGGGCGATCGACTTCTAACTTTTGCATCCTCCGTTTTG